CAGAAAATTAATACTGGGGCCAGGCATTCTCCTGAAGGTTCAATTTTGTTTTGTTTTCCTCTCAGCGGTCTGCTCCTTTGCCGCGCTTTAGGGGCAGAGCAGCAAGGGTTTGCTTTCATGGTGCCTGTGTACCATGGGGCAACGGAGACAGAGTAGAATGATGAGTAACTAATACGGCATCCAAAGGTTAGCTGCAAGTGTATGTGCTTCTCTTGCCGTTAATAAGATTCTTTCTTAGAGAACATGAATATTTGGATTAAATACCGATAATTTTTTTGAGGCTTTTTGTTCTATCTTTTCCTGATCCCCCCCCATATTCATTCACTGATGTCTGGAATCTGAGGGAAGACTTCATCCTGATTCAGTCTGGCTTTGCTTATCCCTTTGCTAGACTGGGAAGCAAGCAATGTGCTAATCAACCTCAGCAAGCGATTGGTTAATTTAAAAAAAAAAACTAAAAAACATCACAGTGTATCAATTATTTATTGACCATCCGTGCTTCTGTTTGTAATTTACAGTGTCTTATGTTTGACTTATTTGGGGTTTTTTATGTGAAGAATGTTTGGAGTTCGGTTTTGGCTTCTTACTAGCTTTAGGCGTACATAAGTTTCTTTAAATGCTTTGTCATAGTTTTGTGAGGCATATTTTTCAAGTTATTACTTGCTTCTGTGGTTCCACAGAAGTAATACTGCATCCGGTAGTTATACCAAAAAAAGATAAGACTTAGACTATATATATAACATGATATGTATGTTAATCTCTGTCAGTGACTGAATTCACAGCTGCATCTCACAGAAATGCATGTATGTTGCTTTAACCCTTAATCTTATAGGGTCTCCCACAGTAATTGGAGGACTTGATGGAAACCTCATATGTAGGAAGAAATAACATGAGTTTTATCATCAAGATACAATCCAATAAATCTGACTTTAGAGCTGCTTCTCTCAGATTTTAAGTGTTGCAGCTTCACGATACAAAGTGCTGGTTCCGTGTAAACTCACTTAGCTATTTCAAAGCTGTTCAAGTCACTTTGATAAGATCACTTCAAATAGAAGTGCTGCATTACCAGAAGTTCTGTGTATGTTATGTGATGGTGTACTTCAGAAAGCTAACTTGCAAGGGTAACTTGGTGTTGAAGAGGAATTATAAAAGTTGGAGTCTTACATTTGAGAGCTGGAAAGGAGGCAGTGAGCCATACAAAATAATAGGTATAGAGCAAAGTATATTTAAAGCTTCTGTTCTAATATGTTTGCTCTTTCTGTCCATCATAAGCTGTTAACCTACAGGGACAGTGTGGAGGGGAATTCAGAGCTGATACACTTCGTACAGTGAAAGACTCATTACAGGAAGATGTTAGTCAAAATGCAGTAGTCTTTCTATTCAATAACAACTCTATTCTTTTAATGTTGAAACGTTGACTGACTTATGTTTCAGAGTTTGTTGATCGATCCTTCTGGTGGTGGGAAGAGATTTCCGTGAGAACTGAAGAAATCTGTATTGCCTACTACATTCGTAACCATTCAGGCATGGGCTTGTTGCAGTTGGACACTGGAGGTGTATTCCAGAGCTACCTAAATTGATATAAGCTGTACTGTTGCACTTTTCTGTTCTTACCATAATTGTTATGCCACCACTAGTGCCAATGTGACTGCACATTAAACTGGGTCCGGTAATTAATCTGGTTGTGAGAGGGGGAAAAAAAAGCACCAATACAGTTTCTTGACTGAATCTTCTCATCCACCAGTACAAGGGAAAAGGTAGGAACATGCAGCTGCCACGCAGCAGGGAGTGTTCCTTGCACTTAAATTGGCCAGCACAGAACTGCACCCTTATGTTTTTGATTTTACGTTGTATTCAATCTAGTGGTGATAGGCTACTGCCAAAAGCCTTCCTTTATCTTCCATGCATGCTCATCTGATGTTTTCTTTAACAACTGGGTAAACACAGGCTGTTTATTGCTAGCTTAGTATTTTTTGGATCCTAAAGAGCAACTAGAAGAACACATTTATCCTCTGTTATACTTAGCGGAGCAGTCTAGGAATTTTTGTCTTTAAGTTATGGGTGCTTTCCCTAGCACCAGTATGCCAGACAGTATTTTGCTGTTTGAAATAATCTGTCTTAAAGTGCGTCTTTATATCTAGCTTTTCCTCCATTTCTGTTTACTGAGCTAGTAAGTGGCTATAAGGCAAACAGTAATTTTCAAATTTTAATTTTTAAATGCTGCTGGTTTGGAATCTAATCTCAAAAAGCAGAAGGATATTTGAAAATATTCTTCAGGAAAGAGGTTTTTTTTCTTTCCATCTCTTCACATGTCTTGTATGTCTAGGTGCTTTCCTTCTGGCTCTCAGTCTTTTTTTTTTTTCTTTTTTTGAATCAAATGAGACTTGGCGGGGGGGGGCGTTAATTTTTTCACATCAGTAATATTCAGCTAGTGGGTATCTGACTTCTCGTGTAATTCTGCCCAGTGAAAAATGTTGGCGGGAGAAACTGCCAATTTTGTAGTATTATTTTCAAGCACAGAGATGTCATTTGTGACTCTCATCTTCATAGAGTAGTAGATACTGAAACCAGAAAATTGTGAACACATGCATTAATTCTGTTTTGATATCAAGCAGGCTAGTTAATGTACGGATTGAAATAAAATGAATATCATTTACGTTTCGGCGGTGCTTGTATGTACTCTCTGAACAAGGTGGAGGAAGATTGGGGTTTTTTGTTTTGATAACTGTAAAAATAAACCGGTCGCTATAGGAGAGGACGCTTAATCTTCCAAGGAGGAAATCAAAGTGGTGACATGGCAGTCTTTAGTTCTGACATTGCTGCTATAAAATTACCTCCAAAATAAACTGGCAGTCAGGTTAGAATTGAGTATGGTTACAAAAGACAGTGTGTTTCCTCCGGAGGAAGGTCTCTGGGGGAATGTGATCTGATACTAGGTGTTACGGTTCCTGAAGATGCAAAGTGGCACTGCTGCTGAAGTGCTCAAGACGGATGTTTCTGCTTCATCGTACCCAATGTTAATCGACTGCATGTTAGAGTCTTTAGGCCATGGATGGAATCCTCTCCCATGAGCAGATTGTTCCACCCTTTTCTTTTTGTTGGTTATGGAGAGGATTTAAGCAACCAGTTAACTCCTGTAAGCTGAAGCGATGCTGCAGAGGGTAGAGTCACTTTGCTTTTGCCAGAGTCAGCAGAATTGCGCTAACTCTCAGTGGTCTGTGCGGCATGTTAGAGGTCTGCAAGTTGCTTCAGGTGTTTAATATAAAATCTTAAACTGAAAGAAGGCAGCTTGATGAAGACAAAAAGCAGCCAGTAAAGTTTGTGAGAGTAGGTACATCTGTGGATGAAAGTGCATGTATTTTGGATGCTGGTAATCTGTTGAACTTGTAAATAGTGGTGTTTAACAAACCTTTTAAACAGCGAGTATATTCACGCTGTTACTCTGAGACTGCTTTTACTCAATGTACAGAAAACATCAGTAATTGCAATATTTTGGAGTTGTGCCTCGTGGATACAAAAAGTATGGAAATGTGGCAATCAGGTAGTCAGTGGGAATGAGTGTGTCTGTAGACAAAGTGAGTAGGTGCTGTTGTGTTGGTATAATTTCATTTTTACTTGGTGAATTTTCTGAAATGCGATAACCACAGACTTGATGTAACTAACATTTTCAGTAAGTATTCACCTTATTACTTAGTATGCATTAAAACTCCTGAGTCCACTCAAAGAAAACTAATGAAAGGGGTAAGTAAATTAGATCACGTTTTTTCTCAGTGTAAGGTTGGGTTTGTTTTAAAAAAATCTCTGCTAGGTAGCACAGTGGCAGCTTTAAAAATTGTTTCATTAACCTGTATTGAAATCAAATAGGTTTCAAATACAGGCTTCTAAATAAATTAAAAGGTTGGCTAATACTAGTTTGTTTTGTTTTTCAGGCTTTAGAAAGGATGCGTCCTTACCTGTGTGATAAAATCATAGCTGAGAGACACTTTGATTACCTGCGTTCAAAGAAAATACTCACTAGAGAGGACACAGAAGAAATTTCTTCTCGATCTTCCAGTAGGAAAAAAACTGGGAAGTTACTGGACTACTTAGCAGAAAACCCAAAAGGACTAGATGCTTTAATTGAATCTATCAGACGAGAAAGAACACAAAACTTCCTGTTACAAAAGATAACTGACGTAGTGTTGAAAGTAAAAAATGAAAAACTTGAAGCTCTCAAAGGTGAGACATTTATAATAATATTTTGTAAGACATAAGTTTTATTTTGAGGGTCTGTGAAATTAAACTCCAACAATTCTTTAAATCATGTTTCTTCTCAGTTTGGGGGGTTTTTTGGGTTTGGGTTTTTTTCCTTCCTCTAGTGTTTGGGCCATCATTCTTGGAAATAGCACCGGTTTGGGTTTAAGATCCTACTGCATGTATCCTGGCTTTGCCTTTTTGCTATCTGAACACATCATATATAATAAATTGCAAAAAACCCGTGTCATATGTTGCTACGATGGGTAAGTCTGTCTTCACATTTCGGTTTTGCTTTCTCTGAGGTTCTAATTCACAACTCAAAATAGGTGGTTATCTTCCATCTTGCATTTCTCTTGAAGCTATTTACTGCAGTGGCAGGATGCTCTGGTTTTGTTAAACTTTGCACCTCAGCAGAAGATAAGCCAGCAAATGCAACTTGAGGGGAATTCTCCTGTATGCCTTCAATGCCAAAACTTAAAATTAGGCGCTGTAAATGTATGCATGTGTTGCATCAAACAGATAGGTTTTTGTTGACACACACAAAGCTTGAAGTGACTATATGTAGTCATATTTTATGGCAGATAAAGAAATTACAAGCCACCTAAACCAAAAACCTTACTTCCCCTTCCACACCCATCAAAAGAGAAATAAAGGAGGAAGAAGTACATTTTAACCGTAGAGGTGAAAGGCCTCAAGTTTTCTCTGGCTTCAGCCTTCAAATGCAGTCCACTTTAGCGTAGAACCACGTAGCTGAAGCTTTTGAAAGTTTGAAGAACAAAGTGAGAAAGATCTATCAAAAGATAGGTCAAAGGGCTAAAGCGACTTCCTAAAATGAAGCTTTAAAATTACAGTGCATCTTTGTCAAATAGTAGCTGATACAGGGATATAGAGAAATCATTCACATCAGCCTAGAAAACCTGCATGTATTTTTTAATTTGTCATGAATCTTGGGATGTCACGGGTGAGATGAAGAGGTTAGTCTGTTAAAAATACAGACAATTGATCTTTGACAGTCTTACTGATACTAAACCAGAGCACAGTCTTAGGAGTGCACCATATTGTAATTAAATCCAGTCTCTGTTCTTTGTCTTAGGTCTAAGCTGCAGCACCTGTATGACCTCACTGTATGGAGGAACAAATAATCTTTCTAGATCATATTCTGATGAATCTAATTTTTTTGATAAAACAAAAGACAAAGAATCTACCCAGATACATCATCCAGAAGAAGATTATAGCACCGCTGCATTTGTGTCTGCTGTCTCTCTTCATTCCATGAATTTACCAATTGCGGAGATGGGAAATGCCGAGAGTGCTGTTTTCTCAGCCACCCTTCCAGGGCCCGGAGACCCCGGTGCACCCCCTCTCCCCCCAGAGCTCCAGTCAGAGCAGCAAGAACCATGTACTAGTTCAAGTGACAATTGCTTTTTGCCTTTAAGATCACGTTCTCTTCAACCCCAGTGAACATAGTGACTTTTGTCTGTTCATCCAAATGGTACTGAAACTGTGCGATATCTTACAAAAGTTAAAAAAAAGTTTTCAAACTGCTAACTAGCAAAATCAGAGGAATCAATCTATGCTATTTACTGGTTTTAAGGAGTAATTTTTTTTTTAATTGGGTGACTGAAGCTGCTTGATTTTATGTTCTTTAGGGAGCTTTTTTCAAAAGATCATGGTATTACACCAGCAAAGGTTTGTTTTTTAAACCAATGTATTTAAGATTTCACATTTAGTTGCAGGTATTTTAGCTGCAGTAATAGAAAAATTTTTTTTTTCTTCTACAGAAACTAACAAATCTGTTTTTCTTCAAGTTTCTGTGATGGGTGAATTGGGAAAGATGACTAGGAAAAGTACGGGGTATTGAAAAATAACTTTCTGAACTAAAAGCTTAAGCTCACTTACCAAAAAGCTTGAACTCATTTACCAAATGAAATGTTTCTCTGTAGGATAAATTCTGCCTTCTGTGTATGTGTGTGCAGGTCCATTTGCAAAAAAAACCAAAAACAAATGCAAAAAAACCCCAATGTGGCCAAATCTGTAGCTATACTTATTTGCAAGAAGTTGTCTTAATTGTCTGAACTTTGTTCTCTGTCCTACCAGTAAATCTGAAGGCGCTGGGTATCGCAGTGATTTGAGTTAGCACATATATTTCCACAAGTCTTAGCATATTATTCTTGTATAGTAGTTAGAGTCTTCTGATTTGAGATGCACTTTAAATATAAATTCTCATTAGTACTGGAAAAGGAATGTAAACTGCTGTAACAGCATCATGTGGGCTGTAAGAAAGTGGTACTGTGTAATGCTATTAAGGAGCGAAGCTTGTGTTTTGTCCCGGTAGGTAAATAGAGGAGGAGTCCTGTAGCAAGAAAGTATCCATAACTGAAGGACTCTTGGAAATGTTGCACTTCAGATACCTACTCTTCAAAGCAGATAGACAGGTTTACATTTCAAATTGTTTGGAGTCAAATGCATTTAAAACTATTTCAACATGGGAAGGTTCTCATTTCTTGACACAGTGTAACATGCTGTATTGCTCTCATACTCTACTCTTGAGTTGTAATCTACTTTTTATGAAGTTGGCCTATAATCACTTTCAAATGACTAGGCAAAGGCAAACTCTTACTTGGAGACGTGTACAGTTGTGTTCTGCAGTACTACACTTTAAAATGATGGGATGTTTTCCGTGTATCAAAGGGTGGGTTTGTATTTAAGGCTTTAAATTATTTGGGCTCTCATACAGCGCTATAGCCATGTAATTCCATTCAAATTCCAACCCAGGTAATATTCCTAAACTGGAGACAGGCCATCTGTAGGACCTCAACATAGTCTCTGTAGTCTCTAAATTTCTTTTTTTCAAGTTTACTCTGGTTTTGGAAGTAGGTTAAAATGAACGGCAATGTTCAACTACACTCCGTACTTAGTATTTGAATAGCTTACGTTCGATAAAGATGTGGGCTTCTGTTTAGTGTTTGTAAAAAATCCTCGTTCCACTTGTATACATCTAAGGTCATAGACTGTCAGGACGGTGAAAATGCTTTTCAACAAAACTGCTTGGTGCAGAAGGCACTCTGGAAGTTAAGTGCCTAAATATGCAAGCAAAATTTTGCTCTCTAACGTGAAATTAAGGGTAGCTTTAAATCCCTCTCTTCCATTAACTTGAACTGTAGTTGCACATACTCGGGATGTCTAAAAATTGATTTGTCTAAATGCCCGCTGTAACCTCTTACAGAGCTGTGCTTAGGTTTGGGTCCCTTCTTGGATTCTTGTAAATGGAGGAGAGTGAGCAAGCTTGGCCTCAACTGAAAAAGAGCATCGGCTCCGGGTGAAGACGGCCTTGCAGATCTTAAATCCGAACACGCGAGGCGTGCTGCGTGCCCCCCGGCCTGCATGGAAGCCTACCTGTGCAGTGGAACCTATCAACCTGAGACTTTAAATGAATGTATTATCTTACCAAATGTTTATAACATGCCTTTTTTTGGATGTGAAATATTTTTATCACAACTTTTGGAATAAATTCTTTTGTATAATTGCCTGTTTTCCGGTCTGCCTCTCTCATTATTAAAATGTGCAGGTTGTAAGAGCAGTTCATGCCAGTATCTGGATCTGTGGTTTTGGTTTTGTGTGTGCGGGAGGCTCTTGTTCTCATTGTCTTGGTCGAGAGGTTTGTCTTTGGTGGAAAGACTGACTTAATGTGAAACGCCTGCGCCTGCAGCACTGCATTCAAGAGCAGTGTATAGGGAAAACATGCGTGCAAAATTAAGACCTCAGCTGCTTAACTACACTTTTTGTGGTTCATGACTAGTATTGCTAACCTGATTCTTGCTTTTTCTCAAATGACTCGATCGCTCACCTTCTTAAAGATGTGAGAGGTGTTGCTTCCAGCCATGCATATATTGACTTAATTCTTAAATTAAGGTTTTTATTTAATACTGGGGGAGAAACAAAACCTTTTGAGTGCTGAGGAGCGTGGCTCAGGAAAGGATTTGCAAGTGTTGCAGCGGACCATGGAGGCTCACTTCGGCGGTTGTTTTCATCGTACTTTGTGTGTAGGGTTTCTTTCAAAATAAAGATTATAGTATGGATTATGAGAGGTCAGCTGGACCCAGTTTAGTATCTTTGCAATAAAGGAGTTGATCATATCATAAGGAAAACCCCTCCCTTAGATTTTATCCCGCTTCCTTGGTAGTGTAAGTAACCTGAACAGCGCTAGTAAGTATATTTTGCTGATGCAAAACCAGAAGTATGGGCCTTGTTGACAAGAGCGGCCTAGTACAAACTTTTTCCAACAGATTTGAAAAATCTCTTTTGGTAAAGATAGCCTACGTGGTTGCTTAAGCTGTTGCTGGACAGGTGCAGTTCAAAGCTTTATCTGCCCTGGGTTAGCTCATGCTCAAACATTGAGGAAAACGTGTTTTCTCTCTGCTTAGGCCTGCAGGTGTAGAAAAGGAGAAATGGAGCTCGTCGGGGTTTCACGTCTGATTTTCTGCATCTGTCTATGGTCACTCGGAGGGGAAAAAACCCCGAGTTGCTGGGGGTGAACCCCGCCGGGCGCGGGCAGAAAGGCCGGCCTTCCCCTCCTCCCGCTGCTGCTGCATCCCGCTCCCCGTG